GGGATGGGTGGGGAGGGGGGCGGGGAAACAAAAGATGGGAAAGAGAAAATAAAAAAGAAGATGATAACAAACAAAACAGAACCAAACCAAAGAGAAGTCGAACCCAGAAGAAGCGGGTGTCAACCAAAGGTGAGATGGGCGGGTGGACGGGCGGGTGGGATGGTGGCCGGGAGGGCTGGCCAAGAACGCTGCACTCCCCATAAGGGCCGCACCTACGTGGCGCACAGCAGGTCTGAGGCACAGGGCAGCTATGGTCCCCATGGAGCACACGATAAAGCCCTATGTCCTGGACACCACTACATGCCAGGCACCATGCTAAGAGAAAGAGCAAACGAAGCCCATTTATTAGGTACCTACTACGTGCTAGGCATCCGCCAAGGGCTCACGTGATAACAGTAAAGCATCTATTTGTTGAGCATCTACTGTGTGCCAGGCACCATGCCAAGGGGAATAGCAATTGAATCCCACTTATTAGGTACCTACTATGTGCCAGGCATCATGCCAAAGGAAAGAGGAAAGAGCAACTGAAGCCCATTTATTAGGTACCTACTATGTGCTAGGCATTTGCCAAGGGCTTCACGGGATAACAGTAAAGCATCTATTTGTTGAGCACCTACTGTGTGCCAGGCACCATGCCAAGGGGAATAGCAATTAAAGCCCATTCATTAGGTACTTACTCTGTGCCAGGCACCATGCCAAGGGGAATAGCAATTAAAGCCCATTCATTAGGTACTTACTCTGTGCCAGGCTCCATGCCAAGAGAAAGAGCAATTGAAGCCCATTAGGTACCTACTATGTGCTAGGCATTTGCGAAAGGCTTCACAGGATAACTGTAAAGCATCTCATTTATTGAACACTTACTGTGGGCCAGGCACCATGCCAAGGGGAATCGCAATTGAAGCCCATTCATTAGGTACCTACTATGTGCCAGATACTTGCCAAGGGCTTCACAGAGTAACGGTAAAAGCATCTGTGTATTGAACACCTACTGTGTGCCAGGCACCATACCAAGGAGAAGAGAAGAAGCTCCATTTGTTAGGTACCTACTATGTGCCAGACACTTGCTAAGGGCTTCACAGAATAACAGTAAAAATATCTATTTATTGAACACCTACTATGTGCCAAGCACCATGCCAAGGGGAATAGCAGTAGGAGCTCCATTTGTTAGTTACCTACTATGTGCCAGCACTGTACCAAGGGCTTCACAAAATAATAGTAAATGTACCTATTTGTTGAACATCTCTGTGCATCAGGCCCCATGCCAAGGATAACAGCAATGGAAGCTCCGTATATTAGATACTTTCTGTGTGCCAGGCACCGTGCCAAAGGGAATGAATAGCATTAGAAGCATCATTTGTTTGGGACCTACTATGTGCCAGCACTGCGCCAAGGGCTTCATAGAATAATAGCAAAAGCATCTATTTGTTGAATACCTACTATGTGCCAGATACCAAGCCAAGAGGAATAGCAACAAAAGCCACATTTATCAGGTACCTACTACGTGCCAGGCATCATGTCAAGGGCTTTATACAATAACAGTAAATGTGCTTATTTGCTGAACACCTACTGTGTGCCAGGCATGGCATCAAGGGCTTTATAATGTTATAAAAATGTCATAAATTTTTTTTATAGTAAAAGCATCTCTTTACAGAACACCTGTGCCACCAGGGACCCCGGAGGCCATCCCAATGGCTTACTTCAATTAGGATCATCCTCTTGGCCTCACTTAAAGAGAAAATGATGCCCTTGTCTTGAGCACCTACTGTGTGCCAGTTAGCATGCCAAGCGCTTTCTAGAGTAATAAAAAAAGTGCCTGTTTATTGGATACCTACTGAGTTAGGTACCAGGCAGGACTTTACAACCCATATGGAGCACCTAGATCATTTTCCTGTTTTTAGTCCCTACTACGCACCTGGCATCACACTACCCATAACAGATCAACAGTAAGTCTCATTTATTGAGCCCCTACTATGGATAGGGAATGGTAATAGCTCTCTAAAGATAAAAATAGCAGTTGTCATTTATGCAGCACCTACTGTGTGCCAGGTACTGTGCTGGGGGCTTACTAAAAAACACTTAACAGTTCCCATTTATGAAGCACCTACTGTGTGCCAGGTACTGTGCTGGGGGCTTACTAAAAAACACTTAACAGTTCCCACATAATAAGCACCTACTATGTGCTAGGTGCTGTACTAAGGGCCTCGTAGACTCAATAGTTCTCATTTGTCAGGCACTTATTACGTGCCAAGCACTGTGTTAAGGGCTTTATTGGATAACAGTAATAGCCGCCCATATATTAAGCACCTACTATGTGCCAGGCATTGTGCTAAAGACCTTATATAAAAATGGCAATAGTTCTTACTTACTGAGCATCTACTATTTGCACACATTGTGCCAAGGCCTTTGCAGATGATAATTGCACGTTTTAAGCAAAAACTGTATACCGAGCATCATTCTAGACCCTTTCAGACTGACAATAGTGCCCGTATGAGCACCTACTGCGTGCCTAGCATCAGGCCAACCTCTTTATATCAAGGCCACTTATTGAGCACTTACTGTATGCCAGGCATCGCGCCAAGAGATTTGCAGAACAATAATCCACGTTTTGGGTACCTACTGTGTGCCTGGCACCAGGTTAAGTTTGTTAGAAACTATTAACAGCTTCCATTTACTGAGTGACAACTGTGTAGTCAGCACTGTGCCAATCCATATTTAGGTTTAAAAGAGCAGCTGCATTTATGGGGCACCAACTGTGTACCAGGCAGTACATAAAGGGCTTTGCAGAATAACAGTGGTAGTTCCCACGTGGTACCATGGGACAGCTGCTGTACTAAGGGCATTACTAGTAATTGTCAACTTCGTGGTCTGCACACCTACTGTGAGGGGCACCACTCGAAGCCCACTTTCCGTGTATGACCTCATTTAATTCTCACAACCCCCACCCCAGGGGGTTGGAGCTGTCACTCCCCACCCCCCATCATAACGGGGGGAACCAGAATCAAAGCCTGCCTGTTTGGCGACTATCACAGCCCCATCCTGAAAGCTTTGCATATACGACCTCTCTAAATACCTCCCCAAACCCAGAAGCAGGCCCCACTTGACAGGTGAGGAAACTGAAGCCCAGAAACAGGAAGTTGCCTGCCCAAGGCTCTGAAGCCAGGATTCGAACCCAGACTTAGCTGCTCTTCTTGGGCTATTTCATTTCAGCGTGAGGCTGGGAGTTCAGACCTTAGCCTGTGGCAGGTCGGGACGGCTGGAGCCACACTCCCAGGACTCTAGGGTCTGCCTTGCCTGGAGGGAACCCCAGAGAGATCACAGGCCTTGCTCATCGGGAAGGCACTCGAAGCTGTCACTATCACACTAGCCTCGTGCACTCACTGAACACTCGTTTACTGAGCACTTACTATGTGCACACCCCAGAGAAGAATCAGATATCTGTGTCCTAAAAGACACTGGGCTACCAGGGACCCCAGAGGCCACCCTAGTAGATTATTTCAACTAGAATGACTCTCCGGCCTCACTTAAAGTGAAACACTGGAGACCCCTCCTGCTCCTCTCAAACTAGACACTGGGGGCGGGGGGCGTCATCCCCATTTCTTGACCAGCCACCCCCACCAAAAGTGCCCGGGGGAATCAGGCAGGAGCGGAAAAACCAACCAAGGAATGTGCCGGAAGGAATGGATTTGCTGAGAAAGGGGGAGAAAAAATAAAACCAAAACCATAATAAAATAAGAAACAACGGTGATGGTGATGATGATGAGAAAAACCATAATAAAAGAAAGAAAGACGCCTTTCCAGAAAACTCCCAGTCTGGTTACCTACCTTCTGCTCTTCAACTGCTAACTTATAAGACTTTCTTACGAGGGAGGGAACGGCGGAGCGCTGAGCTACCGGGCCAGACCGAACTCTTGGTGGGTCTCCGGGTGCCAGCGGGCCCGTGGCCCTGCTCCGGCCCCAGCGTGGGCACGCTGCAGTTCCGGGCCGGCGCCGACGAGGCGGGAAGGCGGAACGGTGTCTGGGAGACCCACGGCTGAGTGGTCTGGCCTCCACCTACCCTTGTGTTCAGCCTAAGGAGCCCGCAGCCCCGGGGAATACGCCTGGCCCTGAGTCTGGTCTCTGCTGCCGGTTCTGGCGGAACCCACCCGTCTGAGGGCGAGAAGCGGGGAGTCCCTTCTCCCCCACTCCCTGTCCTGGGCCGCCCCGGAGGTTCGCGTGGCTGGGCCGAAGCCGCTTTCTAGGAGACCCTGGAGGTCGCGTCCTTCACAATCCGGCCCAACCTGCGTGGCGTCTCGGGAGGGGACCAGGGTGGGCGTGGGCAGAAACATAGACACGCGTGTGCGGCGTCGTGTGGCAGTGGCACGTGGTTTGAGAGAGTTTGCGGACCAAATTTGGGCTGTGGACCGTCTGTGCAGCCCGGAGCGGTGGAGGTGGGTGGGGGGGCACGCAGGGTGGGCCGTTTTTGTGAACCTGCTTGAGACCAGCGTGTACTCACCTTTGGGGCACCTCTGCCAGTCTCTGGGGTGGCCGCCCACGCCACGGGCCACCCTCACTGACTCCACCTCACACAGACACGCCCAGATGCCTTTGAGCGGCTGAGCGCTGCCATCGGCTCGGCGCGGGGGAGTGGGGGGAGGGAAGGGGGCCGGGGTGGCGGTGCGGGGGGCCATGTCTCCGAGGCCCCTGATCCCGGCAGCTCAGACGCCCCGGCCCGAGCTGACATCACCCTCGTCTGACCCGAGACGCCCCTGTGTGCACACAGCCGGGGGGCTTGAAGATTTGGACGCCGTGGCTGCTTCCGGAACAAAGCCTGGGGTGGCTTCGTTGTGACTGACTGGGGGAGGGGAAGTTGGGGGAGAAGCACGAAGGGACCACGACAGGAGGGCCACGCCGGCTGGGGCCACGCCAGGCCAGGCTGAGCAGAGGGGAGGGAGGTGGGTGAGGCGGGGAGACAGCAGGAAGGGCCTGCCCAGCCCCGAGCATGGAGCGGGCAGGGATGGCAGCGGCGGCGGTGGCCGTGGCCGTGGCACAAGGGCCGCACGTGGCCTAGAGCCAGCTGCCAGGTGAAGGGTGACTTCTTGGTAACAGGGAGGCCGGGCGGGCACAGCAAAGAACTCCAGGGATTCGAGAGCCCCGAATGGGGACACGCCAGCCCCCTTGAAACCTGGTGTCGCCTCTGATTCTGCCCCTCCCCCGCCCTTGGCAACGGGGACCTCGTCCTGGGGCGTTGAGAGCTGTGCTCCCTGCCCGGGGGAGGTGGGTGTGTCTCTGTGTCCTCTCCTCGCTCTGAGAACAGTGGGGTGTGAGCTGTGACGACAGCCTCACTGTTCCCCTCGAAACGCCTGTGAAATGGGCTCAACGGGGCGGTTCCATCAGCCCCACATCCGGGAGGGGACGAGGAGAGGGAAGACTCGGTCTGCCCCATCTCCTGAACTAGGGGCCAATCGGCCGCTTGTCCTCGTCCCTGGGCCTCCACCCAGGTCACCAGGCCCGGGGGACACAGAGAACCCCACGGTGAGACCCTCACGGCACCGGTGGGGAAACCGAGGAACAGCGCGGGCGGCTGTGTTGCAGTCGAGGAGCGGAGCGGAGCCAGGCCCGGAGGCGCCCCCACCCCTGCGGCGGGCCCCGCCTGGGTCAGTGCACGCAGGGCCGGCTGCGGCCAGGCCGCGGGTCCCCCCCGCGGGGAAGGGCGGGGCGGCGAGACACCTACTGGACTGCAGCGTGCGCTGCCGCACCACCGAGGTGAAGGCGCCCAGGCCCTGCGGCGAGCGGGCCGCCAGGCGGAAGGCGTACTCCGTGTTGGGCTTGAGGTCGTCCACCACGAAGGAGGTCGTCGGGTCGAAGGTCCTTCCCACCTGGGGGTGGGGGCGGGGCAGAGACATGAACAGAGACCACGAGAGAAAGAGACACAGAAAGGCAGAGACAGAAACAGAGACAGAGAGAAACAGAGAGACACCAAGACAGAGAATGAGAGACACCAATGAGGACAGAGACAGACAGAAACAGAGATAGAGAGACAAAGACACCAATAAAGAGCGACCGAGAGAGACAGCGAGACACAGAAGAGAGAGAAAAAGTGGGTCAGAGGACAGTGGGGACAAAGGGACAGAGACGGAGGACCGGAAGGCAGTGAGAAAGGGGGAAATCAGCAATAAATGTGGCGAGAAAAG